TATGGAAGTAAAAACCTTTCAATATGATGTATCACTTGACCCCCCTTCCCATTTAAGATTTTCTAGGGGGTAGCTCTGGGGGTTAGGGGGTTGAAAGAAGGGTGGTGAATTTTGCATAAAAACTCATCCCCTTTCAAATTATAATTGACGTGTTTCAGGGATTTTTTTGAAAATTTTTCTACTCTGAGATAAAAGGGGTGGGAAGTTTTCAAATTGACACACTGTATAGTGCTGTAGCGTATCTAAAAGTTTAGCAAGGTCAAAGGTGATGATATTCAGGTGGCATTTTCAGCTTCAAAAGCAGATGTAGCACCTATAAAACCTATAAGTATACCAAGACTTGAGCTACAGGATGCTTTAATCTGTGCTAGACTGGGAAATTTTCTGGAAGAAAATGTAAAACTTGAATTTTCCAATTGCTTCTTTTGGACAGATTCCAAAACAGTACTATCTTGAATAATATCAGAAGCAGGACGATTTAAGGTTTTTGTAGCTCAATGAATAGGAGAAATTCAAGACCTGATTAGTGCAATTCAATGGAGATATGTTCCAAGTAAATTAGGTCCGGCCGATCAAGCTACAAAACGATCAGGAACAATTGATTTTTCTCATTGTAGTACCTAATTATTCGGACCTAGATTTTTGAAAGAAGATTTCTCAAATTGGCCTAAAGAAAAAAGTCCAGTGAAAATAAATAAAGATAGTCTTGAGTTGAAGAATGAATTGATATGTTGTGTTATAAGCACACAAATATTCCTATTCCAAACGTCTAGGAATTCTCTAATTGGAATAATTTAAGACGCTCACAGCCTGTATCTTAAAATTTATTAAAATAATTAAAAAAGAGAATCTAAAAACTGTTGATATAGACCTTGAACACATTAAAGAAGCAGAAATATTGTTATTTGAAGGGATCCAATATGATATTTTCCTATTGAATTTCATCAATTAAAGAAAAATAATAAAGTAGACAAAAATAGCAGACTATTTAATCTTTCACCTGAGCTAGATGAGAATGCATTGATTAGATTAAATGGAAGATTAAGTAACATGAAGAATATGGATGAAAATTTTGTAAAACCTATTATTTTGGACCCGAAACATGTAATTTCTAAATTAATTATCAAAAATTTTGACGAAAAGTGGTTTCATCAAGGTCAAGAAGTAATAATAAGCAAATTGAGAGAAAAGTTTTGGTTTTTAAAAGTTCGTCAAGCAGTAAAAGACGTTTCCAAAAATTCTAATAAATGTGAAATACGGAAAAGCTTACCACAGCCACCAATTATGGGACAATTACCTTTATGTAGATTACAGCCCACCATAAGATGTTTTATACAAACTGGAATTGACTATTTTCGACCTATAAAAGTAGCTTTAAAGAGAAGCTCTGAAAACGATATGGAGTTATTTTTATTTGCATGGCAACCAGAGCTATTCATTTGAAAATTGCACAAGATTTATCAATCAACAGTTTTATACATATCTTGTGGCAATTTAGTAGAAGAGGAAATCCGGTCGAAATATACATATAGTGATAATAATCAGAACTTTAAGTCAGCTGAAAAAGAAATATCCATAAAATTAAAGAAACTAAATCATATGGAAATCAAGAGTTATTGCGTATTGAAAGGAATAAAATGAAATTTTAATCCTCCATTGGCTCCACGCTCCACATATGGGTGGAACTTGGGAAAGACTTATAAAATGTGTCAAAAAAGTAATGTAGGAAATAATGACAAAGCGGACACCACAAGAGTACGTTTTCCGTACTGTCTATGCTAAGGCTGAAAATATAGTAAACTCACGTCTACTAACTCACGTATTTGTTGATCCTGAAAACTTGGAACGACTTATACCAAATCATTTCTTGATTGGTCCATTATATAGCGCTCTACCATGTGTTAGTACCGGAGACGTTAATTTAAATCTTTTATCAAAATGGAGAGCTGCTCAGAAGTTATCTGATTTCTTTTGGAAGCGATGGCTAACAGAATATATACCTTTTCTTATTAAAAGATCGAAATGGCACGAAGAAAATGCACGTTTAAAAGAAAATGATATCATTTTAATGATTGATCCTAATGGCCCAAGAAATATTTGGCCTAAAGGTCGTGTTATAACAGTTTTTCCTGGAATAGACAAAAGAATTCGATCAGTGGATGTTTAGTTAGCAAATGGAACAATCCTTGGAAAACCTGTTACCAAACTTTGTTGATTAGATGTTAGTTCATTTAATTATTTGTAATTGTTAATGGAACTTATCAAACTTTAGTGTCAGCCATTCTCTATTTTCTGTTTAAAGTTCGAGATAGAAAAACGGTTCTTCAAGCCCAGATATTTTATATTTTATTATAGGCAATTCCACTCATGTATAAATAATCCCATTTGAAATGTCAAAAATCGTAGTTTGCTAGCGGATAAATAGGAAGGAAGAGAAAATATAACTGGATAAAAAAATCGGATAAATTTTCTGTTGATGCAATCGTTACCGTAGTAACAATTGCATATTAAATTGGTTTTTGAATCATCTGTCAAATAATTGTGTCACAAAAATTCACAAATTCGATCATTTCAGCCTCGATTTTAACTTATTGAAAGTGTTTTGTTATCTGGGATAAATAAATATTTTGTTTTGATTTTACATTCATGGAATTGCCGTACTAAATACCATTCGAGCTCAAATTTTGAGCAGGATATTTTTTTGCTTGCTCTCTCATACTTACTTTCATGCAATTTATCTCGCTCTGTTCCACAAAATCACTCGAGCTGCGCTCTCGTGATTTTGTCTCGTTAAATTTCCTAAAAGTGAGTATTCGAGACCAAGCCAAAAAATATCCGGCTAAATCTGAGCTCTTATGGTATTACCTACGACAATATTAGCACCTACATATACTAATAGTAGCCCACTATACCATCACCATTTAGCCTATAGAATAATGTCGAGCAGCTTTTTTATTGATTTTCATACATAACTAGCTGACCCGGCACACTTCGTACCGCCTCTGAATTATGAAATATACCTATTAAATGTTGTGTTAAAGTATCTATTAGCTAAATTAAATTAAGTTTTTTTCGATGGTGAATTTGGCTTTGGTTGAAGAAAATTATAGTTTACTCTCTGGATCAAAAGTCACCTAAAATTAAAATTTTACATCATCCTTTTTTAGGCAGCTTGTGGGCATTTTTCTTGTAAATTGTACCACCAAATAAATAAACTCAGGCACAGGAATGTTCAAAGAATGTAAAGAAAACAAAAAAAGTCTCTAGTGCAGCCCTGTTCCACTCCATCTGCACTGCACTACTCCATCTGTTCTACTCTATCTGATCAACTCTTTCTGCACCACTCTATCTGATCGGAATAGTGGAATAGTTCTGTTCGAAATAGTTCCAGTTCCTGAGCAGCATTGTTCTACTGTATCTGCAATGCCGAGCTTCGTTCCAGGTATCAGAGATGGCGCGGTATACAAAATACAAAATAAACTTGGTATCGGGTATAAGAGATGGCGCCGTATGCGGGCTTAGTAATTTTTTTTCATAAATAAATAAAATAAGTAATGGAATGACCACATTAATGACATAACAACATGCTGGTACTGTCAACGCTGAAAAAAGTTTCAATTTGACAAATCCCCATTAACAAAATGATCCTCCATTTATTGAATAATTCATTTATTACAAAAAATGTGATAAATGTAGAACCGCTCGACCGATTTTGTGCAAACTTCACATAAACCATCTAATAAATAGTCCAAACAACGCCTAAACATTTGGTTTGGCTAGGTGAGCCCGTTCTTGAGTTATAAAATTACAACGAAAAGTGGCATTAATTTTTATATACAGGGTGTATATTTTAAGTGATACCACTATTGCTATATCCGAAACGGTGAAAGCTACAAGGTCGGTTAAATTAGAAAAAAGTTGCCTTTTTTGATGCTTATTCAAGACTCGTTTACAGTGTTGCCAAATTCCTTCTAGTTTATGAAATACAAGGTGATTTCTAAGAAACGCCTAAAAATATTCTATCACATATTTCGAAAACTATTTATTTTCGGGACACAATTTAAATTTGAAAGTTTTAGAATTTTTTTCGCTCTACAACAGGGTATCTTCAAATTTCGAATCTGACGTTTCGTGGTTAAGCTACCATCATCAACTTCATTTTTTTAAATACGGACCTGGATTTTTTAGGAAATTTTAAGAAAGCACCCTCTATTCTATTATTGGTTGACGTTTCTGATCTAAAAAGTGATCATCAATGATTTTTACCAAAATTTTACCATAATTCGGACCTAGTTATGAACCTGTATTTCAGAAACTAAAAGGAATTTGGTAACACTGTAAACGAATCTTAAATGGGCATCAAAAAAGGCAAATTTTTACTAATTTGACCGACCTTGTAGCTTTTACCGTTTCGGATATAGCAATAGTGGTATCACTTAAAATATACAACCTGTATATAAATATACCTACTACCCTAAGATACTATCCCATTGCTCCTGCGACTTTTTTTCCTTGTAGCGACGAAACCATCCAATCGACCCCCCTATTTTTTTTTTTTTTTGAAAATCATACAAAAGGATAGGAAGTACAACATACCAAAAATTCAAGGAATTTCACAGAAACCACTTTTCAATGTATGTAATTTGTGCGTGGTCTTTTGTGTCAAAACATGTCCATTCTAAACCTATTTTTAGGGATCTAAATAAAGCCCCTAACAAACAAACAAACAAAAACTATGCGCATATGAAACTAGAACTAATCTAATAAAAATATAGTAAATGTTAAATAAAAGGAAAAATGTATTATTTAAATAAAAAATTACAAAAATATGTTTACTACAATCTACAAATTAAATTACTACCTATAAACTGTCTTGATAATTATTATTTCATTAAATTGAAATTAACGACACTCATAAGCATTATTTTGCCAAAAAAAAAAAAATCATCAATACCTAACAATGTGAGTCACAAAATTAATCAATCAATAATTCAACTTACCCTGCAGTAACTGGTTGCCGGTTAATGTCAACATTATCAGGCTGCGAATAGTACTCTTTGGCGTGTTGAGGCTGAATTATCAATTCGCTGCTTATATGCGAAGGAGCTTAAAAAAAATCAATCACTACAAACTATTTCAACTATAAATAATCAACTTACCCATGGAATTTCGATTATATTCGCTTTTTTCGTCGTGAGTGACGTCCATTCTCATAGAATCGTCCCCGAGAGACTTCATATCGTCGACCGTCATGTATTTGTATTGTTGCTGGTCGCCCAAGAGTGGATCTTCACCTAAATTTTTAGACAAATTTATTAAAAGGGCGTACAACTAATAACTGATGAAAAAATAATATTGCTATTCATTAAGGATAAGGAGAGAGCCTAATTGACTTGATAAGATAATGATTTGGAAAGGATCTAAAAAAAAAAATACTATTTATGTGCTGATAACGTATTTGGATTACGCAAGTGCCTGATTAAATAATCTAGTGATAAATGTTATACATTATTTTCATTTGAAAGAAGAGTAGAATTTAATCTTTGTTGTGTTTTAGTAATCTTGATTTTTTTTTTTCTGGCAATGTTTTGATGATGATAGAGTAACAATAGCCCAAGAAATTTATGGGTTTTTCAAAAAATTTTGCAAAGGCAGGCTGATTTTTTCAGGGCTGATTGGAGACTGTGTCCTGAGTATTGAGCCAAAAAATCACACTCAAAAGCCTTGTGCGTTCGGCCCTATTGGCTTTTTTCTTATTTATTTTTCGACAAAATGACCTTAACAAAACTTGTAGATAATAACATTCTGATCAACTTTGCTTCATGCCTTTTTTTGCTAGCTATTTTAGTTTAGGCATTGCGGCCATTTTAGTGCCCCAGAATTTGCAAAAAAATTAAATAGCAAACCTGCAGATTATTGTAACTTTAATAAAATTACTGGTAATTTACTCCATTATGTTTTCGGTTTCAGTCCAAGAAATGATATGTTACATCACTAATCCGGTGAAATTATTTTCCCAGAGTGAAAGCGTGAAATCGAAATGATGTTTTTTTTGACAATACTGGGACCTGTTACCTGTTTGAAAAGTGACAAAATGTTTTTGTTTTTCTACAATCGGCCTAGAAAGTAGACTTTGTCGATTAGATTTGTGCTCGCAATGTAAACGTTTCCTGATGACCTCCACTTTGCCGCTTTAGAGCGTCAAACTATGTCAAAATCCTTCACTTTGTCGCTTGCTTTTACTACTGGTTTCTTTAAACCTGAACTATTTTTTTATCAAATGCAATTGTAAAAAAAATCAAGTATGCATTTGCCAATATCAACAATATCTTTGGATCGGCAAAGTACCACTTTGCGCTCCTAATACACAAATAGCTATTGTGCAACCGTCCGCGAAATTCAATTTCACGAAACGCTACATTTTACCTGCAAAATGTGTCAAATCCTTAGAAACGCTATGCATGCCACAATGTCCACCAGGTCAAATAAAATTTTTCAAATGCCTAAAAGCCCGTACAAGCGAAAGAAATAAAGTTACAATAAAATATCATCAAGCAAAGTAATAGAGAATTTTATTAGGTATAATAATCTGCAGGTTTGCTATTTAATTTTTTTGCGAATTCTGAAGCACTAAAATGGCCACAGCGCCTAAAGTAAAATAGCTAGCAAAAAAAAGTCATGAGGCAAAGTTGATCAGAATGTAATTATCTACAAGTTTTGTGAGAGTCATTTTGTCGAAAAAAAATAAATAAGAAAAAAGCCTATAGGGCCGAACGCACAAGGCTTTCGAGTGTGATTTTTTGGCTCAATACTCAGGGCACACTCCCCAATCAGCCCTGGAAAAATCAGCCTGCCCTCGCAAAATTTTTTGCGGCACAGGTATAAATTTCTTGGGCTACAATCAAGAGTAAACATTTTTGGAACTAATATCGATTCAAAATATCTACATATTTTACAAAATTCAATTTAGGTCGTTTTCTTGTCAAACATGCATGGATAGATTTTGAATGAGAAGAAATGAAAATGTCTAAAGAATAAACTATATGTTGCTGAAAATAATGCTGTCTATTTTATATAAATTAGAAAAATTTAATGAAGTAAGTTGCCTCTTAAATTAAGTGACACAAGAAACATATCTTTAATAGTGAAAAACGACTCACGGTCCTACGGGTTCTTTGAAAAATCTAACCACAGAAAAGTTCATAAAACCAGAAATTATAAAAGGTTGTCTCAAGACCCTTCGATGGTGTCTACAAGTTTGTTGATACAAAATTTCTCCCTTAATGAGTACCTAAATCATTAGCCAATCAACACATTCTTCTTAACGAGAAATTGAAACCATAATTGGTTCTGTGAAAGTCAACATTAAAAAGCAATCTATTTCTGGTATTAAAGGGAGAAATGTGAAGTTCAATGACCGCAAGAAAATCTGGTGCATTAATGATGTTATTAACAATTAAATGTTGAGATGTCTGCTTTCCAAAGGCGTTAAATTTAGAAGTTTTATTATCTCATTACAATTAATTTCCTCATAAGGTATTCCCAATTTAAATCCAATTCTTTTTAGAAACCTGCGTCGAACTCTGTTTATTGTGTATGGTATAATAATAATTCCATACACAACTTGCATATTCAAAAATTGAACGAATAAAGGCACAGTACATTTCGTCAAAAGTAAAAATGTTTCCAAATCCTCTCAAAGTTTGAAAAACAAAACCAAGAAGACCCATGGCCCTATTGCTAATAATTTCTAATGATGTGATGATCCAGAAATTTGACCCGATAATTACAAAGTCTTTACTGTAAAAATTAAATTTTATCAAATAATCAAAATTTAATTCCGGTATTTTTGAATCTGTATCGATAAATTAAAATAAAACAAATTAACGCTACGTATTTTGACACACAGCATGTATGTCATCAAAAACCCGATCAATGAACTTTTTTCTTAGCAAGGCCAGCATGTTAATTAGTTTAATGATATATGGCATTCTTGAACCAATAATGTTTTGACCTCAAAAAATCAGAATATTGCGACATAATTAATCGTTTTCAGGCTAAAAATGATATAAAATTCCAAGGAAATTGCATCATCTCAATTGTCATGGACAAAGAGATTTGGGGTCATCGATTTTATATAAAATAGCGCGTTTTTAGTTGTTAAAGACAGTTGCCAGTTATCCGTTGAAGTTACCCATTGTTAGCAGTCCAGTCTGTCCGTTTTCGCGAAAAGTTTCTTTTATGGCGTATGGCCTCGGGTATAACTTAACTTAGAAAATTTACGGAAAATCGTGAAATGAATAACATTTGGAATTCGTTCAATAATTTATGTGCGTGCTAGCTAAATATTTTGAGTAATTAATTAAGTAATTTTACGTGTGTTTTATGGACAAAATGTAAGTACTCTATAGTGACAAGATTTATTTTTGATGAACATGACTTTGTGTGAATTTTACTAGAAAAACTTTTGACTTTAATCACGGTGGAACTTTATTACAATAATAGTATATTATGATATAAGTGTATAAGAGGGCATTTAAAGCACGCGCGACATATTTCAAAACACGACGCGCAGCGGAGTGTTTTGTAAGTCGCAAGGGCTTTAAATGCCCTCTTATACACGCATATCATACGCTATTTTTTATTACGAATGTATCATAATCTCAATCTCAAAAATGTGTGTTCATTCATTTTAATAAGTAGTAAATTAAATGGCAGGTATGTAGGTAAATATCTAGGTAATGAAGGTAGATCGAACGTTTCTATAGCAAACCTTTGAAAAGGTAGACGCATCATAAACATCATTTTATGCACGCTGCAGCGTGCGATAATCGTTGATTATGATGCATGCGTAATAAAAAATTAATAACTTGAGTGTTTTATAAAGGAAACATTATCGCATAACTTTAATTACCTTCAGATATAATGACATTTAAATGTGCAAAGAAAATATGAAGAGTACTTATAATGCATTTAACAATATACAATTTTGAGTTGGAATTATGAATTAAACAGTTGAATTTATTAGCTAGGCATAGGAATCCGAAAATAGAATTTGTTCTGATTAAATAAACTAATTAAAAGGAAATAGGATGTTTCGAAAAGAAACTTGTTCATGAAATAGAATTGTCTTAAAATATGGGAAAGTTGTTAAAAGAATTTATTGTTCATGAAATTAATTTTGAATTAGGGAGTTTATTTTTCAAGTAGAAGTTATTGTAAAATTTTTTGAGAATAAATTAGTTGATAAAACAAATAAGTAATTATTTTGGGTTTTCATAAGTAAAAGACTTAAGAGATTTTAAAGAATTTTTTGATTAGGTAAAGGATAGTTATTACTTATTAGGAATGATTCGGATGTAGTAAAATGAGTTAAAATTATAATTTATGGGAAATAGAATGAATAGGGCGTTTTTTATTAGTATGGATATTTCAGTGGTCCGTAAAATAACAATCTAGAACGGATGTGAAGTATTGATTTTTTAGAAATAAAGAAGGATGTAAAGTATTGGAAGATATTTGTCTGATTTTTGGGTTTTATGTAAAATAAAATATAATTTAGTACACCTCATTAGTTTGTTTCTCTCTCTTGCAAATAGACCCCTTCTACAGATTTTAGATAGCAACTCCAAGTATATAAGTACCATCAATATACCGCTCACCATCTAACAATTTCCATAGTGTACTTGGGGCGTTTTGCTACACATACTAACTGGTGCGAAAACTGGTGTTTTGACATTTTTTGACAAAAAATTTAAATTTTTGATTTATGAAATTCTCTCATTAAATACAACTCGTGCAATGGAAATATATTTATAATTTTCGACAAATTTGCACTCATGCATTCGAGCAAATTTCCCAAAAATTATCAATAATTTCCATTGCACTAGTTATATTACTATTGAAAATTGCAAAAGGTTTTACCAAAATTTTGAAATGTATTTAGTAGCCACCGAAAAATATTCCAAGTCAGATAAAATAAAAATTGCCCTGTTTTTAAATATGATTGGACCAGAAGGAGTAGAAATATATAATATATTAAAGATTTCACAGAAAGACAACTTTGAAAGTGTTGTAGATGAATTCAAAAGGTTTTGTGCCCCCAGAAAAAATAAAACTTATGAAAGATTCGTGTTCAATAGTAGAAATCAGGAGAACGATGAGCCATTCGATCATTTTTTTGATGAAATTAAAAAACTGTGAGTATGAATCACAAGAAGATAGCATTCTAATATATAGAATAATACTGGGCACAAATGATCCGGCAGTACAAGAAAAACTACTGAATGTGCAAAAATTAACTTTGGAAAAAGCAGTAGAAACTTGCAGAAATGCCGAGGTAATGAAAAGACAGTTGCAATCTGTGCGTGGTAAAGATGAAGCCCATGTAGACACATTGCGCAAAGGAAGAAATGTTAGGAACATTTCTAGGGAAAAAACTCAGGAAAAGGCCCGGGAAACCAGTAAGAAAAAGTTTAAATGCAGAAACTGTAATGAGCAACATGGGTATGCTGAATGTCCAGCCTTCGGTAAGAAGTGTTTCAAGTGTGGGAAAAACAACCACTTCAGTAGAGTATGTCAGTCGTCAGAAAGTCAAGAATGGCCAGTAAGGAGGGTAAAGGAAGTTATTCAAAAAATACAGAGAAGTGATGACAGTTCTGATGAAGATTTATATGTGCACAGCTTAAGCAGAATTGGAGAACTGGTTAGTGCAAATAAGCTTGTTTGGACTGAGAAAATTAGTGTACATGGTTTGGACATTAATTTCAAAATAGGCACAGGGTCCGAAGTGAACATTTTGCCTAAAAAACATTCAGAAACATTAGGCCGCCGTAAATGCTATTATGTGGAAAAGTGTAAGACGATTTTAGAAGTGCAAAATTGAAGTTGGTGAGGAAAGTTAAACTGAAGTGTATAATGTAATGTAATGTAAATTTATTCAAATTCCTTCAAAGTGTACAATTTTGTTTCCTAACCTTAATCTAACCTTAATCAAATCTCAAGAATTATAATTTCAACATTGTTATAAATTACAGGAATCCGAATAAATAGGTGAGTGCTACTTAGGCAGTTTACCTACCAGCGCGCAGTATAAGGTCAGATAATAATTTTGTTTTAGAATTTTTAGTTGTAGATTTAGAGGTGAAGCCAATTATTGGTCTACCTACATGTTATTTGTTAGGTTCTATAAAAAAAATCAGAGTCTTTAGATGTGAGTAAATCCTATGAGACTAGCAGAGAAAACATAATTAGAGAAAATATTGACATTTTTGAAGGTTTGGGAAATTTTGCCGATGTTTGTAAGATTCACTTAAAGGAAAATAGTGAACCAGTTGCCAAGCCTGCTAGAAGAGTACCATTGATTATAAAAAATTAACTGAAACAAAAATTGGATAAATTAGAAAGTAATAGTTATTTATTATACAAGACGGTAAAAAGATGCTTTACCTGTGAGTGGAAAATGTTGATTCACGAGCGACGAAGGAGCGAGTGGATTAATTCCACGAACAGGTGGAAACTACTTTTCAATTATTAAAAATTTTGAGTCATGATCCATCCATTTTGTAAATTTAGGTGTTTTATACCGAGATGTACCTAGGTGTAGACAATTGCATGATACAGAATGTCATAAAGATCAGCAACAACCAAATTAACATCAGCACAACCAGAAATGAACGACCAGTCAACACAAGATTAATTTCTCTATAATAAGCACATTTAAAGTTGAAATAAAAATAATCACATAGTAAGTTCTCTGGTATGCTAAAAAAAAACACTCAAAGGCTGGGTGTAGGTCCAGCTTAAGCAGCAACTCATTATAACAACAAATTGAGAAAGTTACCATACACATTTTAAGTTTGGATGTTCTGGAACAACCCCAAATAAGCTGCACAGTCATAATTATTGGTCACGGCGAAAGGGAATGTCCAACATTGGCGAATCACATAGTCTCTGACTGTAGGTACCTATCATTTATTATTTTAAATAAAACCAGAAGGTAACAATGAGGTCTTCTTACCTTAAGACTATTAATATAATATTGCTGACTGACGTTAATTTTATAACCATCACATATCCTGACCTTCGCTCTGAGTGCCAAGGATCTCAAAAATGTTTACTGCACAGATTGAGGGATACTAATATGACATACGTAGTATGGAGACTATACAATGGAGGTATACTCCAAAACAGAATGAACAAGTGAGCAATACAGCAACTTACGGCGAGTGCTAAGCACTGTTACAAGGCTACGTAATCCCCTGTTAACAAGATCTTCACAATGAGGAGCAAATATTAATTTGGAGTCAAATTTCTATGTCTAGTTTGTGTTAGTTTTTATAGTTTTAAAGCTTTGTCATTTGGTCTCACAATAAAGTATATTTTCTTCCCTTCTTTCTAATGAAGTAGCAAGAGTAACATGGCTATTATAAAAAGCATTAATGATTTCAAAGAATGAAGTGCTACAGATTCTACACTACCCTTCCACTATAATTTTTAATTCGCGATTTCTGTAAAAATAAAGACAATACCAATTGAAGCTTGCATCTAAAAAATTATTTACTGTCACTACAATGTTGGAACAAACCCGACACCACTAATCTACACATACATACAAGTTATTTACAGAAGAATAGAACAGATTAAATCTTTCGACTGCGGCAAAACTTACGTGTATAAGTCATTTGTCCTTGGTAGTAAGGCAAATAGACGTGCTGCGCATGCGTAGGTCGACCGTACGCCACTGGCGGCTCGTCCGCTCCGCCTGCGGCATGCAACATACCAACCGCCACCCTTAGCCATTTCATATTTACAATGTATTATGTTTTTATCTACTAACCCCTTTACTGTTTGAATTATTTGAGATGTTATCCTGTTGTGATTTTGAAAAAAAAATAATTAACCCATACTTCATATTCGAATTCTGGTTACTTGATGAAAAAAATTGTGTGTAATTTTTACAATATCACAGGAGAACATCCTTAAAATGGTACACAATCAACAACAATTCACATTATTGTTAATCCAAATCAAACGCACAAAAAATTATTGCCATACAAGGCCCCAATCAAAAATTTCAAAACAAAACATACCTCCTTCGTCTTCGGAATCTGACATGAAAGTTTCCTGCATAGCTTCCGGTGCCATCACTTTGTATTTTTCCTCAATGTTCATTGTAGTTGTAGTGTTGATTGTAGTTTCAGTGACCACTTTCAGTTCTTCTACTACGCTGATGTAGCCCAGCTTGTTGGCTATGCCCAGAGCCGTTTGGCCATTCTGCAAGAAATCAAAATGTTAGTATTGTATTTTTTTTTTAAATATTACACAGTTGATATACCTGAGTCACTGCATCAGGATCGGCTTTATTTTTCAACAAAAGACTTATCACCAATACGTGGCCTTGTTGAGCTGCTTGATGCAACGGAGTGTATCCTGCTGCTGTCACTGGATTCAGATTTGCTCCTTGTTCTATTAACAATCTCACCTATTGGATATAAAAAGCAGTGATTGTTTTATGCAATCTTAGACCATATAACACAGAGAGACACAATTATTTATATTTAAAAGCAATCCAAATTAAAATCATGAAATCCCAGATAGCCAGTGGCAAATTGTGTCCTCCAAAAATAATAAGATAATCAAGCATTGCTGGAATATTACTCTATTAAACTATTAGAGGAAGGTAATAATTGTAAGTGCAATTTTTTTTGCAATGAGTGTAACATGGTAACATGTGTCATGCACATGTCATGACTATCAAATACAATTGACCTTTTGTTTGGACGCCATATTGCGGTGCGCGAACATAGTTGCCAACAGTAGAAAAAAAAAATGACTAGCGTTCTGTCAACCTTAAAATCCAATGTTAGTGAATAAATTACATTCAAAATTTAAATTTGCCGCCTATTACGAATGTTTTTGGAAAGGAAAGCCATCAATTTTAGCTTGTATTGGGCAGAATAGAAATAATAAAATATCTAGTTGACAGCCCGCTAGTAATTTTTGGTTTTCTTGTTTTGGCAACTATGTTCGCGCACCGCAATATGGCGTCCAAACAAAAGGTCAATTTAATATGTGCAAGCATATCCATATTATTTGCAATATGTTTTTAAAAGCAAAACCAGATTTTTGTAATGAGAGTAATGCCGAAAATGATGATGATAATAATAATGAGTTTGATGTTATTTCATTTTAACTTTCTGCTGGTAATAAACAAAAAGATGCTGTTATCTCTAACAAAAAACTTGCCATGGAAGAAATTAATAAACACACAGAAAAGTTAAATGAAGCACAAGATTTGGATCAAATTTTATATATTACAAAAAATTTATCAACAATTAATGCAGGGGTCGACGCCTTACAGAAGTCAAAATCTGTTTTAATTCCGAAAGATACATATCCAGCCAATAGGAAAGTACCACAGCAATGTCGCAGGAACCTTCCCTCATTACAGAAGAAGAAGAAGAAGAAGAAGAAAAAAGAAAAAGCATCAAGAACCTCATCTCAAATTGATGAAGAAGATATAACTATTTTGAACATGGTCATGGAAAAATAGTTTAAAAAAAATAAATACACTGCCGAGCATAAAATTAGGGTCACCCATAATTCACAATTATTTTTGAAATGTCAAGTTTTTGAGATTTTTTTGTGGGTGTTGCATAGTTTACTACTCTCTATGCGATGATTTTATAGTGGTTGTTTAAATTTTTAAAAAAATTGTTGTTATTTTGTTTAAAGATTGATAAAAAAAAGGGTCCCTCGCCGAAATTCCTCGAAAGCATTATCAGCATATTTGTGTATTTCATGCATGGTATCTCTCATGACGTATCTCTCAATAACAATAAAGTTAGTAAACTATATGTACACCCAAAAAAAAAATCCCAAAAACTAAAAATTTCAAAAATAATTGCAAAGTATGGAGTGACCCTAATTTTATGCTCCGCAGTGTAGCATATTAAAGTATGTTTTTACTTCGGTTATTACTTTGGTTTTTACTTTAGTGATCTTTTTTTGTTCAGCAGAAAAGAGAAGAGAGTTTTGTTCACAGTGCTGTGAATACTGTGGTACGAGCAGCAGCGTTGACCTTCGGCCGGTGTGCATTTGCGATCTTCGAGGTAAAATCCAAAAAATTACTAACTTTGTGTAACCTTTTCCTGGGTGAATTGGGTACGTTTACCACGATTCCCGTCTATTTATTTTTTTCTAAATAATAATTTTTAATTATCCTTTTATCGTAATTTTTTTCATTTTCTTTATTGGCATTTTTTTTTAAAGTAATTATGGAGGATTGGGATGACCCTGGGGGGGGGGGTCCTCCACCCCAGGTCATCAATGATATTATTAAAAACTCAGCGAATGATGGTAAATTGATTGCCAAAAAAAAAGATATTGAACAAATGGCCTCCCGCTCCCTGTGACCGTTTACATTCCTCCAGTGACCCAATGCTTCTCTTGCCTGCTGTATGGGCATACAAAAAATGACTGTAAGGGTAAGGAAATAGTTATTTACCTAACAAATGCGGAAAGTGATACTTTACCGCACGCAAGCCGTTAAGGGCGGTAAAGGCACTTTCCGCATGTGTTAGGTACAAAATTTTACCTATGAGCATCTACAACTCCAAAAAAAGGCATTGATAAAATTAATTAATGAAATTAGATAAAATTTAAAAATGATCAAAAATCCATTTTCTGAAAAAGAGAGGATTTTTGATTATAAATATCAAATTCCACTTTACCGCACACTATGCGGTAAAGTGCACTTTACCGCACACTTTGTATTCTACTTTACCGCATACTATGCTGTAAAGTTGACTTTACCGCACACTATGCGGTAAAGTGCACTTTACCGCACGCTCGTAGGTAAAATGTTTTAACTGTGGAGAAAAAAAACACGACCAGGACTCAGCTGGCTTGCCATCTCCGTTCATGTGTCAAACTAAATGCCACTTTTGCAAAAAAGATCATAAAACAACCTCTAAAAGTTGTCCAGAATACACCCGACAAACCAATATAAAAAAACTCATGGCCTATGATAATTTAACTTACTTTGATGCTGACAAGTTATGTAAAAAGACATACATTCTAAGTGATGATTATAACTTTAATCCAAACGAATTTCCAATTTTGCGTGCCCCCAGAAATATTCGAATGTAATACCACAAGAGGTTTCAGGATTACCGGATAATACTTTTACCTGTCACGAAACGCGTTACGTAGCAACACCACGACTCCGAAGGAGGAGTGGTGTTGCTGGTAACGCGTTGAGTGTCAGGTAAAAGTATTAGGTAATCCTGAAACATCGAGTGGTATTCAAAAGGTTATACAACGAACTAAACTTCAATGCTTTATCAATTTTTATAATCATTAATGACAAATTAACAATATTGCCACCAAGCGCGATAATCCCAAAAGGCTTATCACTTCTTAAGCCTCTCGTGTCATATGGGAATAATGTATAGTGAGTTGTATAATCAAGAAAATAATCCAAGAGAAACAATAACGCCCTCACAAAGACGCACAGTTGATTTCAATACAAGGCCAAAAAGAACCTTCCAACAAGCAGCTTCTACAGAACCCAACAAGAAAAGAATTATACAAAAAGGATATGATAAATCATTACATAATGAAGCTTTGTACTTCCCAAACTCCCGACCAGAACAAAACATCCCCACTGCCCCCAGATATAGTATTTTCCATGCGATAGTTGCAGAAATTCAATATGTGCAGAATGCTCAGATTTATCAACCTCTGAACTCAGATGTTTGCCATTACAAAGGCGAGTTGTCAAGTTTCACTGTAGAAAATGTAGAAATAACGATTATGTGGAAAGTCTTAAAAACATAATTACAGATAAAGAAATTATAATTCAGGACAAAAATGAAATCATAAAAATGCTCAAAGAAAAAATAGGTGCTCTTGAGCATAATATGGAAGATAATAATTCTGGACCGACATTCGCTGATGTCCTCCAGAAAAACCGGCAGTCTATTAACAAGACTATACCTCAGAATATCCCCGATGTAATCATTAAACCAAGGATCCCCCAAGATGTTCAGCAAACGAGAAATGATATCTCAATAAACATCAACCCTACTGAATTAAAAATTGGGATAAAAAAACTAAAACCAACTAAATCTGGTGCCATTTTGATCAAGTGTGCCAATAAACACGAAGTGGATGTTCTCAAAGCGGCAGCAGAGGAAAAACTGAAAGACACTTACCTAATAGAAACAACAAGGATGAAAAAGCCAAGAGTAAAGATTACAAACTTTAATAAAGATATGACAAAAGAAGAAATAACCAACTCAATATTACAACAAAATGAAACTCTGCAGGATTTCAATGTGACATATATCAAAAATGGAAAAAATGGTAACAAAACCATATTTGGAGAATGCTCAGGTTCCTCGTTCAAGCATCTGTTACATTTGGAAAAGATTTATATTTCTTGGGAACGCTATCCAGTCTATGAGGATCTATCCGTCCCACGCTGCTTTCACTGCCAAGGTTTTTATCATATGAAGCAAGACTGTACAAATAAACTTGCCTGTCCGCTTTGTAGTGAAGAACATGAATATAGAGACTGTCCAAAACAAAACCAAATGTGTGTAAACTGCTGCCATTCTAATAATAAATACAAAACAAACCATGATGTTAATCACGAAGCAAATAACACCCAGTGTCCCACGTTACAATTTCATATTGATTTATTAAAGAATAAAATTGATTATTCTTCATAATGGTTTTAAACGATCAAGATATTATACTAGACAACCTAGAACAATTAGATCAAGATCATCGTGGTGACTATATCCATCCTGGAAAATGTGAAACTCTTCTAGCATCTTCGGATAAATGTTTAAATATTATGCATTTTAATATACGGAGTGCAAATAAAAATTTCGATAATTTCATTACTCTGGTTGAGGCGTACAAGCTGATGAACTGTGACATCTTTGTGTTGGGTGAGTGCTTCCAGGGAGTAGCTTCTGAGAACCTCAATATTCCTGGTTTCGTGACAGTTCATAGCGGCGGAAGTTTCAATAGAAATGATGGAGTATTAATTCTTATTAAAAACAGTTTAACTTTTAATGTATTGAATCAAAAACTTGATATGTGTGGTGTGACCCTATGTATTACATGTATAGAGATATATGGTATGTATTTTAGAATTATTGCTTTGTATAGACCCAATCCAAGTAACTTGATCTCATTCATTGACGAAATTGATATATACCTGGAAAATTCCAAGCAGCTAAATGAGGTCGCAATATTTATAGGAGACATAAACGTGAATCTTTTAAATGACAGTAATGTTAGTGTCAATAGATATTTATCGGTACTAGCCAAACATGGTTTTTTACCCTATATTTTAAACCCTACTCGTATTACACTAGAAAGTCAGTCATGTTTAGACCATATATTTTTAAAAAAATCAACCAAGTTCCAAAATTTAAACTTTAACTCGTACATTGTGGAATGTGA